GCAGTGGTTTAAGGCTTTGTTGTTGTTTGTTGTTAACCATGTCAGCTAATTATAAAAGCTAGTCTTCTTTTTTTCTCCTTTTTCTTAATCAAGGTTTCTACTGAAAGCTACCAAACTGTGTTGGAGTCAAAGTAAACAAAATGAGAACGGAAAGAAAACCTGAATTACTAAGATGAACAACACTTATGTACCTAATATGCATTGTAGATAGATCAAACAGAAACCAAGTGCAATTTCAATGGAAAATTGGAAAATAAACTTACAATATGAAGCTGTTGACGCATGTATCCATTCTCATAAACTAAGTGTGACACCTGCTTTTGCAAGCGGTCATTCTCCTCCATCAGGAGCTTGTTCATAGCAGTTAGCTTTCGATTGACGGTTTGGAGACGAGACGCCTCTTTTCTCTGCTTCTCACGGCACCTAAACAAATAGAAGGAAAATAAATATATGTAAAAGCAAGAAAAAGTTAGTTCATTGGTTATATCTTTGAAATTCTAATATACCACAAGCATTCTTTAAGAAAAATACAGGTGAGCTTATGTTCAGAATATATATCAGTGAAAAAAAAAATTATGACATAGCAATCAATGGAACAATTTGCTAACAAATTAGGCCTTATTATAGCTGCAAAATTCATGCAGTAAAACAATTGTTTCTTCACTTTCCTATAATCCAGTATTATTTCAACAGTGATGGGCCAATCACAAGATCACCCCTTTCCATCCATAATTCTCAAAACAAAGAAACATGGGATAGAATCTTAGATGCTGTCTGGCTACACATAGTATTTAGTAAATCCTGTAAATTGAATTTAAAGTGATCTTGAAGGATTACAAGCCAACAATTATTTGCCAATGAATTATTGTGACCTATTTGGCAATTTACTTCAGGATTTCATATTTGTGTGAGAAAGATTTCTTAAATCCAATAAATCCTCTGAATGGTGTGATTTGACAAATACTAAACTTAACAATTAAAAAAACTAAATTTTAATGTATATATATATGTATGTATATGTATGTATATATATGTATGTATATATATGTATGTATATATATGTATGTATATATATGTATGTATATATATGTATGTATATATATGTATGTATATATATGTATGTATATATATGTATGTATATATATGTATGTAT